TAAGTTCTCTCACGGATGTGCACACTATAAACAATGCTCTAAGACTCTGCTGATCTCGTAAATGACAACACTGCAAATGCAACTCTTCAAGAGAAAGACAATATCCCAAATGTTCATCGGGGCCAGGACTTAAATCAACAGTTTTACATGACCGAAGCTTCAAAGTTTTCAGATTTTGACAATATGACAATGCCGACAACCACCCACCATCCATCCTATGATCACAAAGCATGAACTCCTCCAACATATGACAACATTGTCCTATAGCTTTGATCCCATCGTAGCTTCCCTCACATCCGACCAAATCAAGCTTCACAAGACGCCTGCAAGACTGAGCAAGAATGGTCAAACCTATATCAGAGACCATAGAGCTGTAAAACCCGTCTAAATTTCCAACCAACTTTAGTATCTGCAGATTTCTACACCCAGAAATCCCTTTCAGAGAGAAATCCTCGCAGCAATGCAATTCTAGTTCCTGCACTGTCTCACAGTTATCAGCCACATATTTCAACCCATCTTCGCTCGTGTTGATCATAACAATTCTCCTTAGATTGGAACAACCTTCTACAAGAATCTTAACTCCTCCATCAACAACTTGTGCTGCCAAAATATCATCTTTTCTCACAAACCCACCATCTATAGAGCTTGAGTCTAAGTGAACTGATAGTAGCCTGTGCGAGATCATAATAGAGGAATTCCTCTTCCATTTCACGCAGGATCGAACAATGTCAATGTCAATCAGGTTAGGAAACCTGTAAACGAGCCTACCCGATTCTAGAAATTCCCAATCCAACAGCTTAATCGACTGGACCAGTTTGCCACTTAGCTTACACCACCGCTTACATACCAAAGAATTTGAAATGTGATGAGACCCAGGAAGCTTCGAAAGCACATTCAACAGCAGCTCATCCGAAATGAGAGAAGTATAATCCGGGTTGAGGCAATGCCGGGTCGGATCCAACTCTTCTGAGCCACCAAGTGTCTGAGCATCCAAGTCAGGCTCGGAAGGCGGAGTTGTGGAATTGGACTGACTCTGCAGGCGCAATTTCATAACCACATTCCTGAGAGCTTGTTGAGCGTCCCCTTTGTTCGCCCAGAGCTGGCCGTCCGACCAGTTCGACGGCGCCGGCCTTCTCTTCACGTGCTGCTGCTGCGGCGGGTTAATTTGGTTAGGGTTTAGGCCTGCGGCGTCTTCTTCTTCAGGAGGATACATTTACGGCTTTCCCTTCGAGTCAACCTTTGGCCTGATGTTAGGGTTTCCGCAAGTCTCCAAATTTCTCCTCGATTACCACGCCAGCTCTTCAACATCGCCTGCACCTTGGAATATTAAGAATTCCCAATTCTCACTTCCCGATCAGGGTTTGAAAACACAGAGATGACATTTAGGCATAGTGAGAGAGAAAGACAAGAAGAAAATGGCGAATAGTAAAATGACAAGTTTCTCTCTCTCTCTCTAATTGGGGGCAGATAGATGAGCGAAGAGTCCTTATTCCGTACAATTTCTTTGTTGTTACTTGCTTCTAAGAGCACTACAAGTGGGATTCACGCCCGCCGGCGAGCGTTTAACGCCCTCGGGCGTGAAACACCGTTCCCCTCCAGCGTTATTTGGGCGTGATCCGACGTGCGTCAAAAGAATGACGCTGCGTGATCCTCCCAACGGCTTTTTTAGCTGCCCCCCCCCCCAAATTAAAAAAAATCAAAATTTAAAAAAAACAATAAATTTCCCTAAAAAATATCATTCTCTCACACATCTCTCTCACATCTCATTTCATATTCTCTCTAAAATATTTATTATTTATTATAAATCTTCAAAAAAAATATTTTAAAAATGGGTTCATCTTCCGACGATGAAAGAAGAGCTTTATTTTTTCGTTGTTTCGCGATGAATTGTATTCAATGGTGGGAAGATGGCCAAGAAGAAGCCGAATCATCGCCAAAGAAATCACCGAAGAAAAGAAACGACGCAACCGCCAAGAAATCCGAAGCCGAGAGATTCACAATGCACTAACGGCAGATTTGATCGAGCATATCTTTAGTCGTTCGAATAATTAGTAATTTCTTTGTACTGTTGTTTTTTTATGTAATTTTTTTAATGAATGTAATTTTTTTTGAATGTTTTTTTGTGAATATAAGATTTTTTCATAATGAATTTAATTTTTTTAAGCACTAGTGTCATTGCGATTAATTAAAATAATAAATTAATTTAAATTTATTAATTTAAAATTAGAAGATGTATATTTAAAAATGTAAAAAATGAAGGTTTGAAGCCCCAGTTTGAAGTCCCGGGGCTTCAAAACCATTTCCAGTGAACTTTGAGTGTAAGTTAAAGCTGACGTGGCAAAGAGAGAAAGTTTGAAGCCCCGAGGCTTCATGACCATTACCAGTGCTCTAAAGAAGAAGATGAGCCTCACCACGACCTTTAAACTCAGTCGGACAATTAGTGAGAATAATTAAATTAGATTTTAATCGTAGATTAATAGTAAGAAGTGAAACATGCATCTGGTACTTTTAGAGGTCTCATGCTTAGCATAGTTATTGAAAATCAAACTCGAGTCTACTCTTTAGCAGTCATGTTTCTCCTAATATAAATACACAACATCCACCGACATGTAACTTGCTTCTACAATCTTCTGCGTCGAGGTCGGAATAGCTAAAAATATGAAAAAGAATCCGCAACTATGTTGCCAATCTTGATTTTTTTCGAAAATGTGAGAAAATTAAATTGAAAAAATATACTAGCAAACACTTAATTTATACGGAGTATCAAATTGAATAGTTAGTTCGATATTTTAGAATATATAGTACAAACACCTTGGTTCCCATGACATTGGGAACCAAAGGCATGGGATGACCCGGGGGCGCTCTGGTGCCCCGTTCATAAAATTGACGGTTCCTACCCCCTAACTCCCTCGGTAAACCTCCCCACCCCGCCCCGACCCGAACGCACCCCCCACCCCCATCAATTGCACCCCACAAGTTGATTTTGACTTTGGAGTCAAATTGTGGGGTGCAATTGAAGGGGGTTGGGGGTGTGTTCGGGTCGGGGCGGGGTGGGGGGTTTATCGGGGGGGTTTGGGGGGTAGGAAGCGTCAATTTTACGAACGGGACACCGGAGCGCCCCTGGGTCATCCCATGACATTGGTTCCCAATGTCATGGGAACCTTGCCCTAGTACAAAATAATTTCTCATACTTCTCGTTATAATCATTTTACATGTTTTGAAATTTTAATTTAAGTTTATCATATATAATTGTATAAATTTTAATTTTATTCGAGCTTTAATTTTCTTGTAGACAAACCCAAAAATTAAGAAAAATGTTAAATACTATTTTGTTTTTATTCATTCGTTTTATCTTGTAAAATAGTTTGCTCGTGTAAACTAAATTGAAACAAGTTTTACAACTTTGGAGTTTATAAACTAAAATCTACTTTTATTGGTGTGAAAAAAAGATAAACATTATTTTACTGAGGCAAAAGCTCATAAGCAGCTTTTAAATGCAACTCCGCTGGGGCCGTTGGGCATTACACCAATGTCTAGGGGTAGGTGGGCAATCGGGTTTAGGAACAGAGAGTCCGAACCGGACTGCCAGGTTCGGTCCGGGTTAGGGGTAGGTCTTCTTTTCAAAAATTTAAAACGGTCCGAGTCGGTCCGGTCCTTATAGATTTTAGGGTCAGTCCGGTTCCCCATTTTGAAATTGTATTGGATCCGGATTGGACCGTTTTTTAAACCCCAATATTGTTTTTAATATTATTTTTAGTAAATATACGGATATACCGCCTAAGCCCTTCAATCTTTCGGTCTCTCCAATCACATGCAACAAACTTTTCGTAGTCAGACAGTCGAAACTCGGAAGACATGAAGCAATTGCCGCCTTCGCCGATTCTTTCCAATCGCAGGCAGAAAATTGCCAATTCTTTCCAATCGCAGGCAAAATTGCTGATTCTTTCCAATCGGGCAGTAGAAAATAGTCGAGCCTCCCAGCTTCATGTGGTATGTTTCTATTCTCATTTCATTGCTTATTGAAATATTCACTTCTTCAAATTTATTCAAATTCAAAATGATCCAATTAGACTACTCCTTAGAAACAAGTTGATTGTTGGTTGGGATACATTGTTCTGGATTAGTGGTGATTGACCATGTATGTGTTATTATTTTATTATCCCTTTATTTATTTAATATTAGTATCATGATAGGTTCGGACCCGTTAACCCGTGGAATCAACCCGTTTCAAACAAGTCGGGTTAGGTTTGGTTTCAATTTTAAAATTTGAAAACTTGCTCTAGATCGGATCATTTTAATAAAAACAAGCTGAGTCCGGTTTATACAAATTTTGACTCGGACTGGCTTGTGTCCACCCCATACCAATGTCCACTGCGCGAGTCACTAAATATTTGCCCAAAATCTTTTACTCCCTCTGTCCCTAAATAGATTGCAATTTTTTTCTCTCCTCTCGTTAACTTTTGTTTGTTTACGCGATTTCATTAAGTATTTGATAAAATATAATAATCATGTCACCTCTTGTTTTGTAGAACTTTTGACGTAGTTTTTTAATATGTATTTTTTATATCTTATCGATATACCAATTTGTAAATAAAATAATTTCAAAAAATAGAAAATTTTACTCCGTAATCCACAATTTGTAATCAAATTAAGAATGGATGGAATACAAGTTTTAATTTGGGAAAATGCTAAAAACCCTTCACCCTTGCTACCACCCATGCCCCTACATAAATATGTGGTAGGGAGGCAAGAAAAATTAAAATTAGAGGGTGGATGGAGAATAGATAGAGATAAATATGTGGTAGAAAAATGGGTGGAGGCAAGATTGATAGCAAGGGTGGGGTAATTTGACCGGGTGTCATAATATCAAACTCAAGTGAGGTCAATTATAAGCGATGGTCAATAACATTTTTTTTGAAAAGACCGTAAAAGGGCTGCCCCAGAAGAATTTTCTAACACTGGGTTGACAATTTAAACGGATACGTTACTTGAATTAGACGCTGTAGACCGTAGAATCAGTTGCATTTCCAATTTTACCACGGGGCGGCCAACGTGGAGACCCCGCAACGCGGCTCAACGTCAACGAATGAAAACCACCGCCACCGGCGGCCATATCTAAATCTATATATCTTCCTTTACCCTCTCACTCCTTTCACCGGCGGATTCCCCACCGTCCATCTCCGGGAGGAATCCTTAAACCCCAATACAATTATTCCAAATCAAATACTCCGATTGACAATACACGCCGGGAAAGTCTTCCCAGTTTCCGAGAGTCTGCTTTGAATTCTGTGACCATTTGTTGTCGATTATGTATAGATCTGGAGCTGTAATGGCGTGGAACGTCTTCAAGTTCTGCACCGCCCTGCGCGGGCTGGGCTCGATCATGATCCTGCTGGTCCTTGGCGTCGTCGGCGTAAGTTATTATGCCCTTGTCATCACCAATTACGGGCCAATCCTCGCCGGTGGCGGCAGCGTTTCCGATATTCTCATTGCTCTAATCGTGATCATGCTGTTTCATGGTTTGGTAATTCCCGCGATACTTTCCCCCCCACTAGCTGTATTTAGTTAGTCACTTTTGCTCTATCATCCAGCTAAGTGAGCCATTGATTGGAGTAAATTCTTAGTCTGTCTCTTGTTCCTTCGTTTATCAGTTAATGTCTTAATGAGAGCACCTTGATAGGGGTTTAGTAGTCGATTGTTGATACTTGTAGAGACAACTTTAATTAAAGCCTACTTTGTACAATTTATGAAGTGATTCGACCATATCAAATTATTTTCTGTGTTGTAACCTTGATAATCCAAGTTTATCTTACAATGATAATCCGAAATTTCAAATTAAAGAAAGAATATGTATAATTTAATCTGTGAATGCGCTATGAGAAGTGTGGCTGTGGATTTCTGCTGAGGTCTGATGATGAAACTAAAGCTCTTATGCAATTGCAACAGCTGGTTATGCTATTATGGAGTTACTTTTCTGTTGTTTTTACGGATCCTGGTAGTGTGCCTCCGAATTGGAGGTCAGCATCGGACGAAGAAAGCGGAGAGATTGATCCCTTGACTGCAACAGACTTAGGCAACTCTCATGCTGATGATCCGCCACACCCAAGCGTCCGGTTCTGTAGGAAGTGCAACCAGACGAAGCCACCTAGATGCCACCATTGTTCTGTTTGTGAGTTCTTGAAATTTTCTCAATGTTTATTGTGTTTCCTCAGCAGCCCAATGACAAGTTCGTTCTGATTGTTTACATATCATAGGTGGGAGGTGTGTGTTGAAAATGGATCACCATTGCGTATGGGTTGTGAATTGTGTTGGTGCTTTGAACTACAAGTATTTCCTTCTCTTCCTGGTATGGTCACTACTGTGATTTTTGGTTATAATAGTACTACTGTAGATGGATTCCCACATTTCAATGTATAGGTTTAAGGGTTGTTTACATGTATAAATTTTGGATATCATAGTTAGAAATCTTAATCCAGAGCTGGACACCCATTTTGTGGGATTTGTCCTTCTACGCTTTAGCAGTTAGCACACCCATTTGCAAACATGCTTCACTGTATTTCTCCCATTGTAAACATAATTTCTAATATGGATGCATATATTTGATTACACCTTATTGAAGCCTTGAAGGCGATATAGGTGTGCAGGCATTAGTGTTATGCATTCCTGACATTATTTGAGGTATTTTGATGAAATATCTCTGTCTCCATTGACGGAGTGGCAGTGAACATATTAACGTTTATTCCAATTTCCATCCCTTCAAGTTTCTCAAAAAAGTTAAAACAAAAACTTTACATAACATTTATAGAAGAGCTAAAACAAAAACATGGGAACATTGATAAATCATTTGTTTTAAATGGTTGTTTGGTCATACGTTTATTGTTACATACCGTAGTGCTTTTGTACCTCATCCTCTGAAGATATTTGGTGTTTGCCAAGCCAAGTGTACTTGTGCTGAAAAGTGGCAATAAGTTGTAGAAGAAGTAAACCGTGTGATATTTTCATAACATTTTTAAAGCACATTAGTTCATGCGTTATATATTGCCATGCATTGGTGCCTTTGTGGATTTGGCATAACACTTGGTTCTTAATTGGAACATATTCATAAATGAAAGAATGTTTCAAACTATATGCTTCATGTTCGTTTTCCATACTGGATGAGATTTCATTTGGTTTCAAATATCAGCAAGGCTGAATAAATATAAATCATCTATGGTTGAAGTCATATTTATTGATTTAAATGCTCCACTACTAGTTCCTGTATGAGTATGTATGATTATACGTAAACTTAGATCTTTTGGGGACCCTTGTCATATCACTAAATAAGCAGATCGTATTTTTGTGCATGCAGTTCTACACATTTCTTGAGACAACCCTTGTGACACTATCATTATTACCGGGCTTCATTACATTCTTCACTGATGAAGAGGAGATACCTGGTACTCCTGGCACTCTTGCAACTACTTTCCTTGCCTTTGGTAAGCTGTATGATTTTTCTTCTTGTGGCAAATCTCTTGTGCTTAAACATACTTCCTCCTAAAAAAAGCGTTAAGAGTTATATTCTGATGACAGTGTTGAACCTTGCTTTTGCTTTGAGTGTATTTGGATTTCTGATTTTGCATATCTCACTGGTCTCGGGGAATACCACAACTATTGAGGTGATCTTTTATACCTATCAGAATTTTCGTGCAGATTTCATAACTAATACTCCCTACTTCTTTGTTTTTTTCACGGAGTTTAGAAAATTGTATGGTGTAAGTTTATGTAGAATTGAAAAATATTTCAAGCCACTCCTTTCCCTAAATGGAGTGAGATTTTTTTGGGACAATTGAAAAAAACATGAAATTCTTCTAGGGATTATGCTTTATTTGAACTATTTCACCACCCATTTTCCTTGTCCTTTTCATGGTCTGAAGTTGAAACAAAGGAACGAAACTGAAAGTGATGCAAACTTTACATATGATTTTATGGATAACATCATTGCACTTGGTACATTCTGTGAATGTCCTTAACTAGTCCTCGCTTGAAGCTCAATGACAGTAGTTGAGAAGAAATGTTTTACAGTTGGTAGCTGCAAGACTTATGTGGCCGTAACATCTTTAGCAACTGAACTACTTTGAATCTGTTCTTTTAGGCATATGAAAAGAAGAAAACTCCAAAGTGGCGCTATGATCTTGGTCGGAAGAGAAATTTTGAACAGGTGAGGTGACTTGAAAAAACAGGTTCTTGCAATGAATATTCACTCTTAGAATTGAGTCCTCCTGTACATTTCTTTTTTTGTTACAAGAAAGATTCTCTGTTTTCCAAACGTGTATTCCATCTTGTATCTCAAGTGTTCCAAGTTAGATGCAATAATGTAATGTGCAAACATGTAATTTCATTTCCTGTCTCAGGTGTTTGGGACCGACAAGCGGTACTGGTTCATGCCATGCTACTCACCAGAAGATTTGAAACGGATACCCGCCCTTCACGGGCTTGAATATCCGTCCCGGCCCGACTTTGATGCCCAGGAATTCTAGGCAACAAAAAAGCTACTGAAGGTAACCCCTCAGTGACTGACCTGTGTGATGTAGGCCCATCTTTTTTTGAGAGAGAGAGGTGCTGTGCTGCCTGTGCATACCTGAGTTGTGATATGTAAGATATAAGCAAAATACCAATCTAAAACACACATACACACACACAAAGTCACACACAATATCTAACATTTCTTCAATTTTGTGGAGATTAAAGAGGATGTAGATTAATCTTTCTGTAACACCCCAAACTTTGTTGTAACAATGTTATTATTTTGTCTCATTAAACTTTTTACTGAATTGGAGCTACTATTGAACTCAAACCCCAATTCTGTGGGAAGGGCAACCATTATCGATCTGGAGAGCCATGCATGGCACAATGTAATAACATCTCACAAGCTTGTAATCTGCAGTGCCCTGTAAGATCCATTCAACTTATTTTTTCAAATTACCCCCTCCGTCCTATATCTTTCTCCCCGTTGTGCAAAACGAAGAAAAATCCCAAGTTTTTTCAATCTATTTTATTTAAATATTGGTATAGAAATGAAAAATAAAACATACATATTTAAAAATTACATCAAAAGTTCAACAAAACAAGTGGTGACAAGAATATTTTATGAGAAATTTACATAAATAAGAGTAAAAGATGGTGTATTTCCGTAAATAGGAGTAGTCCTATTTGACTACACGTTTGGGCATGTATAATGACTAGAATAGCCTCCCACATTAATTAAAGAGAGATGGCATCCACGCGTTGCTATTGTTAGGATCGCAAAAATTGTGGTCGTAGTTACCATCTAGGCACGCTTTTCTAACCCAACAGGCTTCTAAGTCATTACTACACAATTAAGTTAGGGTTCTATTGGAAGAGAAGTTTGATGCTTAGCGATCATGAAGAGCCCAAACGGCAAATCAATGGCGTCGAGAATGAATTTAGTGATGACATGGGTGGCCCGGCGGAGGGTGTGCAAAGTGTCCAACCGCACAGAGCCCTTAAAATTTAGGGTATCATATTTTTTAATTTGTGAATAATTTTAAAGAAAAAATATTCTAAAAATATAAAATAAGGCATAAAATGTAAATTTTGGACCGGTCCATTTTTTTTTTCATTTTTCGGTGCCGGCCCTGAGTGAAGAGCACTTCTTTAGGGCGAGTAAGTTGTTTTAATTCCTATGTTTGATGTTTCAAAAAAAAATCCTATGTTTGACAGACTTTAGTGTAATATGCACTGGAAATCAACAAAATTGGCATTTATGTAGTTAGATCGGTGAACCATGCTACACTTACATTAAAAATTATACCTCATTTGTACCCCACAGTTATATACAAACATTTTGATGATTTACACCTACCCAAGTGTTGGTGCGTTAACAAAAATTTACACAGACATAAAGTGTCGGTGCATTAATAAAAATTAGCTTTACACCAACACAAAATGTTGGTGCAAACCTGCGGGGTACAAAGTGGAGTACAAAAAATTGGGGTACAAATAGCTTTATCCTAGATCGGTACATACATGTACGATGTTTGTTAAAAGTGAAATTTGCACTAAATAGGACTAAAACATAATGATTTTCCTAATCTAAGACTTAAACTTTTTTATTACGTAAATAGGCCTTATTAATGTCTTAGTGGGAGGAATAATGTCCAGTAATGATGGTCATTTACTTGAATAATGACTAATTCATAATGACCAAAAGTTCTACATTGGGAAATAAAAACATATGATCCTATATATTGGAAAAGTCATTATGTTTTAGTCATTATGTTTTGGTCCTATATTGGGAATAATATCCAGAGATGGTGGACATTTACTTGAATAATGACTAATGGATAATGACTAATGATCCTACATTGAGAAATAAAAACATATGGTCCTATATTGACAAAGTCATTATGTTTTAGTCTTATGTAGGTAAATGAAGATTGATCATGAAAGATTGGTCAAGGCATTATAAAGATATGAATACACATAAATTGGGTAATTTTTGAAAATGGAAATATATACAATCTTCACTAAGAAAAATTCAAGAATTAAGTGTTTGTAGTGCAATTATTGGAACAAAATTTGTTGGTCATTAAGTCTTTGTGCATGGGTATTTTATTTAATGCTTTGTTTGATAAATATTTTGTTAAATTCATCATTGTTGGGATTAAGCCTTTAGCTTCAAATTTACTATTAAGTCTTTATGAACTAGTGTTTTTACTTTTAGTTAATGCTTTGTTGAAGAGTGTTAAGTGTTGGACATTTTATATTACCCTTAAGTCATTGTTAGTTTTTTAAGGACATAATTTGCAACTTTTTCTTGTTTAATAAGTTATTCTTAAATAGTTCGTACCAAGAAAAATAAAAATACAAAAAAATTAGGTGATTTCAAAAATGAAAAAATATACACAGTACGTAATACTCCCTCCGTCCTTGAGTATTTGTCCACTTTTGATTTTTTTTGGTCAAAACTTGTAAACTTTGACCTCAAATTAAATAAAAATTGTATTAGATATAGATACGAAAATAGTTTTGTTAGATTAATCATATGAAATATTTTCAAAATATTATTCTATCTAATTAAAACACAATATATATTTTATTGAATTATAGGTCAAAGGTTAAAAACGGTGGACTGAAAAAAGTCAAAACTGGATAAATACTCAAAGACGGAGGTAGTATATTTTAAAAATGTAAAAAAAGAATGAGCCTCATTCCTGAGGGTTTCCTAAGACCCGTCCGGATGGTCAATGATAAAAGGTATATTAAACTTTGATCACAATTTGATGGCAAAAATTGGAGATGAAGCACTGATTGTAAATGTGTTAAGAATTTGGAGATGAAGCAAAAGAAGTGACGGTTAATATGATAGAAAATGTAATAATTACATCTTAAAAAATAGGAGAATTTAATGGTTGGTATTATCTCTAAATATGTAAAGAATATAAAAATTAAGAATGGAAGGACAATATGCATGTGTACCAGCGCGTGGATGCGATCATGCGAGATAACATTAGAAGGGCAAATATGAATACATGAACAAATTTTAGTCTTAGAAAAAGGAAAAAAAGTAAAGAGTCTTATTTAGGGAAAAGTAGTGGCTTTTAGTCCTAGTTGCAACAAATTTTACATATTTTATTTTATCATATAGGCCATGAAAAAACACAAATAAATATAAGTTTCTGTGAAGTTGGAATAGTGCTCTGGGAAGAAAGTTTTAGGACGGAGGGAGTATTACTTATTCCATTTTAAATATAACGACAAGTTGAAGCTCCCCCCCATAAACCACTTAGGATGTGTTTGAGTTCAACCGATATGGGTTTTGATATTTCCGTTATTTGATTTTCAAAATAAGTGTTTGGTGAATAAAAAAAAAAGTTGGATTAAGATATCACCAGATATGCAAACTCTCGAAATACTCCCCTTCTTCAAATCGGCTATAAGATTCGGATATCAAAGTGAATTCGGCTCTTGTTAACATCCCCCACCCCCTTCCCCCTCCCTCCCTCTCACCCCCGACAAAAGCTTTCATTTTACTCTTTGCTTTTTACTGTTTTTCTCTTTTTTTAATTTATTCATATTCATCTCATTGCTCCATCTCTTTCATTTACTACGTGTTTTTTAGCAATTTTTTTTAGTTTGCATACCTCTTTCAGTAGTTCATCATAATTCAAAAATAAAAATAAAAAAATCGTAAAATATTTTTTTTGTCAAATTTGTAATTTGTTAATATTTTGTGTAACACGTACAGCTTGATTTCTTAGATGCTCACTAAACAATTGTGACTGTGATTTCATTTCTTTTTTCTACAAACACTTTTAATACAGATATCAAAACCCATATCATTTCTTCTAGATTTCAAAACTCATTTCTTATCATATCTCCAAAACTCACTAAACATGCCCTTATAGTGTTTGAGAGTTGAGACTGATTTGGCTTCTAGAAAAGTGTGTATTTTAAACACAAAATCCAAAAGTATCTGTTTTGAAATGATATCTAACAACCTTTTAGCATTAGCTTTTTCTACCTTAGTTTACATCTTTAAGAAAAAGTTAGAAGCCCCGGGGCTTCATGGGTATTTCCAGTGCTCTAATGCACTAGGTCAACTTTAAAAAAAAATGGACAAGCAGAAACTATCCATTTAAAAACTTTTGTGACTATTCTTAACTGCAAAAATAAATACTTCGTCTTTCTATTATGTAAGTATTCTCTTAATTTTTATTTTTTCTTTAAAAAAAATCATATTCCTTTAAAAAATATACTACCTCCGTCCCTAAGTATTTGTTCAGTTTGACCCTTGTAGTCAACTGTTTTGAACATTTGACCTATAACTATATAACATATATATTGTACATTTTGAAAATATTTACTCATAAATCCAATAAAACTACTCCGTATTTTGTATCAATATCTAATATCATTTTTATTTAATTTAAAATCAAAGTTTATCAATTTTGACTAGAAAAACTCAGTATCATTTTAAACTAGAATAGTGTCTTCCCCTGCATGAAATTTTGAAGCATCCTCAAAATAAAGTTACTCTCTAAAATTGGTGGACTTCACTTGCATTGCTTTCTCTCTTTTTTCTCTAAAAGGAAGTAATAAATAAACTTTCATGAGGTCAGGTCTACACTCACATTTTCTCTCCGAACATGCGAAGAAAATGGCATATTTGTTTTAATGTTTTGTACTCATTCAAATCATAATCTTTTTTTATTTTGTTATTCTCTCCCCTTTTTTCATTCTCTTTTTCCATTTTTTTTCGCTTCATACAAAGATCGAAGGCATCAAACTTTGGCATCAAAGTTTAATTTATTTGTTGTGTTAAATTGTTAATGTTGTAAGCTCTCTCATCCTAATCGATATGCAATACTTTGGAATCTTCACTTTTACTTTACTGTCAGGGTCCGTTTGGTATAAGGAATTGGTGGAATTGGAATTGTAATTCCATGGGATTCAATTCCATAGAATTGAATTCTGTCAATTTCAATTCATTTTTTGCACTATCAATTCCAAATCTACATAATATTTGTGCTACCAAACACTAGAATTGGAATTGAATTCCATGTACCAAACGGGGCGTCACTGTTCACCAAGACATTATTTATGTGCAAAGCTCCGAAAATGTTCTTTTCCATTTGACATTTTACGGTCTCCAAGATTGCACTTTGACTTTTTTCATACACAAAAAAACTATTTTTGAAAAAAAAATAAAATAATGTAAATTTAGCATAAATATCAAAATATTAAATTTTAAAAAGTTATTGTGGTTATGTTGTACCTCAATTTATTTATGCAGTACTTATTAAAAATAATATATTTGTAATTATACTTTATAT